CAAAGATATTGTGGCATTAAACAACACCCTAGATGAAATGGACTTAACTGATATATATAGAGCTCTTCATCCCAAAGAAGCTAAATACACATTCTTTTCAAATGCACATGGAACATTCTCAAAGATAGACCACATGATAGGACACAAAACAAGCCTCAACAAATTAAACAAAATTGAAATCATACCAAGCATCTTCCTTGACCACAAGGGCCTGAAACTGGAAACCAACCCCAATGGAAAAAACCCAAAGCACCCAAAATCATGGAGACTGAATGGTATTCTATTAAACAATGAATGAATCAAGAATGAAATGAGGGAAGAAATGAAAAAGTTTCTGGAAACAAATGAAAACAAACTCACAACAACCCAAAACTTATGGGACACAGCAAAGGCAGTCCTGAGAGGGAAGTTTATAGCAATACAGGCCTACCTAAAGAAGATAGAAACATTTCAAACAAACAACCTAACCCTACGCCTGCAAGAACTCGAGGAACGACAACAAAGACAGCCCAGAGTAAGCAGAAGGACGGAAATGACTAAGATCAGAGCAGAACTAAATGACATAGAGACTAAAAGCACAATTTTAAGGATCAATGAATCCAGGAGTTGGTTCTTTGAAAAGATAAACAAAATAGACAAGCCTTTAAGTGGGCTCATCAAGAAAAGAAGGGAATGGATACAAATAAACACAATCAGAAATGAAACAGGAGAGATTACAACTGATACCACAGAAATACAAGGGATTGTAAGAAATTACTATGAAGAACTGTATGCCAAGAAATTTGAAAACCTAGGGGAAATGGACACATTTCTAGAAAAATACAATCTTCCAAAACTCAATGAAAAAGAAGCAGAAAATCTGGACACACCAGTAACAGCAAAAGAAATTGAAGCAGTAACCAAAAAACTCCCATCGCACAAAAGCCCTGGACTAGATGGTTTCACTGGAGAATTCTACAAAGCATTGAAGGAAGAGCTAACCCCTATTCTCCACAGACTATTCCAAGAAATCCAGAAGGATGGAAAACTCCCTAACTCCTTTTATGAAGCCAGCATCATCCTAATTCCAAAACCAGATAGAGACACAACAAAGAAAGAAAACTTCAGGCCAATATTGCTGATGAACATAGACGCTAAAATCCTCAACAAAATATTGGCAAATCGCATCCAACAATACATCAAAATGATCATACACCATGACCAAGTGGGATTCATCCCAAGGATGCAAGGATGGTTCAATATTCGCAAATCAGTAAATGTAATACATCACATAAACAAAAGCAAAGACAAAAACCACATGGTCATATCAATAGACCCAGAAAAAGCTTCTGATAAGGCACAACACCCATTTATGATAGAAACACTCAGCACAGTGGGAATAGAGGGAGCATTCCTCAACATAGTAAAGGCCATATATGAGACCTACAGCCAACATCATATTAAATGGGCAAAAACTAAAAGCTTTTCCACTAAGATCAGGAACAAGACAAGGATGTCCACTTTCACCACTTCTATTCAATATAGTATTGGAAGTTTTAGCCACAGTGACCAGGCAAGAAAAGGAAATAAAAGGCATCCAAATAAGAAAGGAGGAAACAAAACTTTCTGTTTGCAGATGATAAGATAGTGTACATGGAAAATCCTACAAATTCTACCCCAAAATTGCTCGAACTAATTAATGAATTTGGCAACACAGCAAGTTACAAAGTCAATATCCAGAAATCAAAAGCATTTTTGCATACCAACAAAATAGCAGAAGCAGAAATCAAGAAAAAAAAATCCCATTCAATATAGCAAAAACAAAAATAAAATATCTGGGAATAAACCTAACTAAGGATGTAAAACACCTGTATGCAGAAAATTACACAGCACTGAAGAAAGAAATCAATGAAGACACGAACAAATGGAAACATATACCTTGTTCATGGATTGGAAGAATTAACATCATCAAAATGTCCATGCTACCAAAAGCAATTTACAGATTCAATGCAATACCTATTAAAGTACCAATGGCATATTTCACAGACATAGAACAAACATTTCAAAAAGTTATATGGAACCATAAACGACCCTGAATAGCAGCTGCACTTTTGAGAAAGAAGAGCAAAGTAGGAGGGATCACAATACCTGATACCAAACAGTATTACAAGGCCACTGTAATCAAAACAGCCTGGTACTGGCATAAAAACAGGCACATAGACCAATAAAACATAACAGACAGTCCAGAAATCAACCCAACTCTCTACAGTCAATTAATATTTGACAAAGGGGGCAGTAACATAATATGGAGTAAAGATAGCCTCTTCAACAAATGGTGTTGGGAGAACTGGACAGCTACGTTCAAAAAAATGAAACTCAAGCACCAACTTACACCATACACCAAAATAAATTCAAGGTGGATAAAAGACTTAAATATAAGCCGTGACATCATTAAAGTCCTAGAGGAGAACAGTGGCAAGAAAATCTCAGATATTCCACGCAGCAACTTCTTTACTGATATGTCCCCTAGAGCAAGGAACATAAAGGAAAGAATAAACAAATGGGATCTCATCAAAATAAAAAGTTCTGCGTGGCTAAAGAAAACAGTATTAAATTAAAAAGACAACCAACTCTATGGAAAAATATATTTGCCAATGATACCTCAGACAAAGGTTTAATCTCCAAAATATACAAAGAACTTACAACACTCCACTCTAAGAAGACACCCAACCCAATTAAAAAATGGGAAAAGGACTTGAACAGACACTTCTCTATGCAGGACATACAGAATATCCAGAGACACATGAAGAGATGCTCAATATCACTAGCTATCAGAGAGATGCAAATTAAAACCACAATGAGATACCACTTTACACCAGTCAGGATGGCTATCATAAACAAAGCAACAAACAACAAATGTTGGAAAGGGTGTGGGGAAAAGGGGTCCTTAGTTCACTGTTGGTGGGATTGCAGACTGGCATGACCATTATGGAAAACAGTATGGAATTTTCTCAGAAAACTAAAAATGAATATGCCTTTTGACTCAGCAATTCCACTGCTAGGATTATATCCCAAGAATCCTAAAACATCAATTTCAAAGAACCTATGCACCACAATGTTCATAGCAGCACAATTTACAATAGGCAAGAGCTGGAAGCAACCTAGGTGCCCATCAGTAAATGAATGGATCAAAAAATCGTGGTACATATACACAATGGAATTCTATGCAGCAGAGAGAAAGAAGGAGCTCCTACCATTTGCAACAACATGGATGGAACTGGAAAGCATTATGCTGAGTGAAATAGGCCAGGCATTGAAAGACAAATACCATATGATCTCACCTTTAACAGGAAGCTAAACAACAAAACAAACAAGCAAGCAAAATAAAAACAAAGACACTGAAATAGGGAATTGGGAGAGAGACAAAAGGGGAGGGGGAGGGAATTTAAGGAGAGAAAGGAGAGGGATTTAGAGGAACAAGTATAAAGGACACAGGGACAAAAACTAAGGGGGGTGGAAATGGGAGGGAGGTGGGGAACACGGGGCAAGGTGGGCTGGGATGGGAGAAATAAACAGAAAACTGTACTTGAAAAATAACTAAATTTAAAAAAAAGACAGAATATCAGCATCTCTATTTTCTTACTCATCACAACTCCTTCCTCAATATTCGTATTTAAAAGCAATTACAAACTAGTGACTAGTTTAAAAGAGACTAAAGAAACAGAATACCCAAATGCAGTAAGATACATATGATTTAGTTCTGGTTCAAAAACAAAAATAAAAAATTAACATACAAAAAGAAACAATAATAGACAGTCTTGAGACAACTGGGGAAATTTTAATATGGACTGGAAATTAGGTGAGATTATGGCATTCCTACTAATTTTCTAAAGCATGATATTGTTACTATGGTTATGAAGAAAGATACATTTAAGCTTTAGAGATGCACACTGATATCCCCAGAGATAAAGTGCCATGATGTCTGCAACCAGCTTTGGATGACCAAGGAAAATTACACATGTATGTACCCACACAGATACACACATACACACTAAAATAAAAATGACAAAATGTCCACTGCTAAATCTATGTGTGGGGAGGGACACAGGGTTACTCTGTACTTTTGCTTTCCTATTATTTCAACTTTTTCAAAAGAAAAGATCAAAATTCAAATTACTAATAGGATATACTTAGTAGAGTATTAATTTTACTAAACCGTTTACTATTTAAATATCAAGTAGTGTGAGTATACTTCGAATAATAAGTTTATTATTATTTCAAGTACAAGTTAATGTAAAATTAAATTACAAATGTCCCTTCAGGAACTCTTGTGTTATAAAGCTCATTTGTATTAACATTTCTGTCTTCTCCTAGAAACCCTTTTTTTCAGCTCATCCTTTCTGAGCCTCACCTAAATGGCTTAATAGTAGCCATTGCAATTAGGTCTGCAGGTTTATAGAAAATAGATTAACATAAATAAAACTAAAATTGTTGCTTGAAGAATGAAAAGCAAACAAAACTGCAGGAATTCACTGCTAATGTTTACTTGTACCAAGGCTATATCCAAAGGCCATCTACACCATGAAGCTTACCCAGAAAGCCTGAGTTCAAATTCAAAAAGTTTCTTAAACAGCTTTTATAGTTATCTATTTCACAGCAAAACACAATGCCAACAACTCTCAAAAACTCTCTCTCAAAAAAAAAAAAAACAAGACTTTATCAAGCCAGAGCTAAAACATTTCTGGCTCATGGTTAAGATATTTAAAACACTTCTCAGTAAACCGTTCTATTACAAGTCCTTGGTAACCCACTTGTAAAGGATGACCATGTGCTCATTAAGTCCAAAATTTTCATTTGATTTCAGTCTATGATTTTTTAAAAGACTATGTATTAAAATAGCTAGTTTTTAAAGACTAAAAACTAACTACTCTACAAATGCATCTCAACTAAATTCTTGAGATAAATCCCCCAAATTAATAGGACACCTAAAAATGCAAATCCCATTAAACTAGTGCACTTGCCTCTCTTTCAGCTTCTTTTAGTATGGCTTCTTTTTCTTTCACTCGTTGCACAAACATCTGCTTCATCTCTTCTTCCTTCCTGTGGAGTTCCCCATAAAACTCGTGTCTTTTGGCTTCATAGGTCTCTTGAAGACTAAACAGTTTTTGTAATATTCTCATGTTAAAACGATGGTGTAACAAATTTGCAAATATTCAAATATTTCAAGTTAAGCTTCATAACTATACCATGTATCAACATCTTCTTATACCATGTGTCAGCAACTGAAACACGAGATTTCCTATAGTGGGAATCATACAAAGCCACGAGTGCTACAGCTATCAGAGAGCACTAGAATTTTGAAAATTCTGCTTTGTCAAGTCCTTCACTGTAAGTACTCTCATTTCACATCAGAGGAAGTCATCTTTCAATCTTTGTTAATTTGGTGTCATTGTGTCTGGAAACTGACCTCAAAGTTCTGAAGTCATATTTGACATTTCCCTTATCCTTGTACCTGATCACCAAGGTCTTTGAGTTCAGCCTGTGACCCTGACACATCATTTAAATCCAGCCTTAGGATGGCTACAGCAATCTTGTTATAGCCCAACTTGATGTTTGCAATTTTCTATCTTCACTATTGCAATAATCACGTAATTGATCTCTGGGCTTTTAGTTCTTTCTTTCACATTGTTCCTTGTTCACTCCTAAAATTTTTCACCAAGACCACAGAGCCCACTATCTTTTTTCTCTGCATTAGAGTTATGTTATCTGCAGAACAAGGCTCCACATCTTTTAAAGAACACTTACGAAACTTAACAATAAAGCCTAATCCCACCTTTCCACATTCATTTCTTACCAAAAAAATCCAAACCACCTTAAGTTCCAGCCATACCAACCTACTCACTGCTTCTAAAATGCCACTCACTTCGTGCTTTATTTTGTTGCATCTCCTCTGCTTCCTATGTCATTGCCTTCTTCCGAGCCCACCCCTCATGCTACCCAGCTCTTCCTAAAGCCAAATTCAAATGCAACTTCCACCAGAGTCTTTTCCAGCCTCCCCAACTAGAGCTAACTGTTCTTCCAAGCACTTGCATGGCACTTCATTTACATCTCTCTCCTGACATATCCCATCTGCCTCTCTTGTAATAGATCATCATCTTAGCAATCCACTTCTGCAGCAGAGCTCTCCAGACATTTCAATTTCTTCATAAATACTCATTTAATGATGTTCATTCATTCATGTCAAATGAATAAATATTCATTCATTTAAATGACAGAAATTGTCAGGATGTAGAATAAAGCAGAATTTAACCAAGCAGAATAAAGGCTGTCCAATTTGAAATATGATAAATTAAGAAATTTTACTAGTTTTAAATATTATAACGGGAAATAAATCTTTTCAGTATAGAATTCTATAAGTTCAAGGAAAAATAGTGTAAGAAATGTTGCACAATAGTCATCATGGCTGCTAATGAGTGTACTATACATAGCAGGTATTCAGAGGAGGAACAGATACTAAACACTGTCTGTAAGAGCATGGATGGACCTAGATGGAACATTATGCCAAGTGAAATAAGCCAATCAGAGAAAGACAAGTACCATATGATTGCACTCATATGTGGAATCTAATGAGCAAAATGAACTAGCAAACAAAACAGAAACAGACTCACAGATCCAGAGAACAGACTGACAGCTGTCAGAGGGGAGGGGGGGTGGGAGGCTGGGTGAAAAAGGAGAAGGTTGATTAAGCAAATGAAAATAAAACTCACAGACACAGACAACAGTATGGTGATTATCAGAGGGAAAGGGAGGTGGGGGGAGGTAGAAGAGGGCAAAGAAGATAAATGGTTATAGAAGAAACCCTGACTTGGGATGGCCTTCTTCTATAATACAAAATACAATATATAGATGACTTGTACCCCTGAAACCTACATAATTTTATTAACTAATGTCACCCCAATAAATTCAGTAAGAAGTTAAAAAAGAGTAAAGCTTATAAATATATAAAATATTCTAGATAACCACATAAATGCTTCAAATCTCAAGGGGGCATTTTACTTTTTACCAGGTTTCTTGTTTTTCAGTATTTGTTTTGGTCTTACTTTAAAGATGTCTCTAAAGTCTAAATCTATCTGGCTACTTTCATCATTTTCAGAAACTTTACATTTGGCTGGTCCTACACAGGGTTGGTAGTCTTTAATGACAAACTTGGTTTAAATAACATCTTGAATTCATATCAAATGTTAAGTTTTAAAAAGTTCTCATTAATGTATTCATATTAGCACTTGAGTTGCTTAGGAGCAAAATAAATCTACCCAGCAAAAAGACCTAACATTTACTGAACAGTTGCTATGAGCATGGCAATTTTCTGGACTCTTATCACTACCTAATTCATGACAACTAATGGCAACCATGAAGAACAAGTAAGAAAACTAAAGCTCAGAGAGGTAATCTGCCTAAAGTAACACAGCTGGTAAGTTAAAAGGTGAGGTGCAAATCAGATAAGACCAGCCAAAAGCCATCTTCCTAACTACCATAAACAGACTACACTGAAGGGAAGCCTCAGCAAAAGATCAAAAGAATGACTGCGCTGCACATTTCCCATCTTACCACAGTGGTTTCTAACTTGGACAATGTAAATTATAAACCTAACTGCAAGTACAGAAACCTAGACTATATTTCAAAAAATGGTAAAGAAACCCTTAGATCTGAAAGGAAATGGTTTATATAGTATTGTAAAACTAATCAACTATTGTTTACTATAATGGGTTTATTTATCAAACAAAAATGAAAAACAGTTTTTTTGTTATACTACTCCTTTTTCTAGTATAAAAGTAACTAGTTGTCATGAATGCTTAATGCATATAATATAGTAGTATAGTTGCAAATATCACCAATTAAAAGCAAAGTTGAAAACCAAAAAGGAAGAAAAATAATTCTCACATGCTCATGTTAACCAAGAAAAATACTCCAATCCTTGTTAGTTTTACTAAGCCTGATGGACTTTTTCCATTTCTACTGCAGACTAAATGCTTAGAAATTAACTATGAATTTATTGAGAGTTCCAAAGACACAAACATTTATGACACAAAAAGTTATGTTTCAGACAATAAGGGCTCGACACTAGAAACCAACCTCAAGGAAAAACCTCAAAAACATTCAAACTCATGGAGACTGAATAGCATGCCATTAAACAATGCATGTGTTAATGATGAGATCAACAAAGAAATCAAAAAGTTTCTGGAGACAAATGAAAATGAACACAAAAACAGTCCAAAACTTATGGGACACAGAAAAGGCAGTCCTGAGAGGGAAGTTCATAGTGATACAGGCCTACCTAAAAACATAGAAACATTTCAAATAAATAACCTAACCCTACATCTACATGAACTCGAGGACCAAAAACAAACAAAGCCCAGAGCAAGTAGAAGGAAGGAAATAACCAAGATCACATCAAAATTAAATGACATAAAGACTAAAAGCACAATTCTAAGGATCAATAAATCCAGGAGCTGATTCTTTGAAAAGATAAACAAAATCAATAAGCCTTTAAGCAGATTCATCAAGAAAAAAGAGAGAGGATCCAAATAAAAAATCAGAAATGAAAAAGAGATTACAACTGATACCACAGAAATACAAAGGACTGTAAGAAATTACTAGGAATATTCCAAGAAATTTGAAAACCAGGGTGAAATAGAAAAATTTCTAGAAAAACATAATCTTCCAAAACTGAATCAAGAAAAAGCAGAAAGCCCTGGCTGGTGTAGCTCAGTGGATTGAGCGCTGGCCTGCGAACCACACGCTCATGGTTCGATTCCCAGTCAGGGCACATGCCTGGGTTGCAGGCCGGTTCCCTGCAGGCCAGTTCCCAGCAGGGGACGCACAAAAGGCAACCATACATTGATGTTTCTCTCCCTCTCTCCTTCCCCCCCTTCCCCTCTAAAGATAAATAAATAATAAAATATTATAAAAAAAAAGAAAAAGCAGAAAGCCTGAACAGACCTATAATAGCTGGTGACATCGAAGCAGTATTAAAAAAACTCCTGGAACACAAAAGCCCTGGATTGGACGGTTTCACAGGAGAATTCTACAAAACATTTCAGGAAGAGGAGTGGGAGAAGATGGCAGAGGACTGAATGGAACTTACAGTAACATCCTCATAGGTCCAATCTGGAATTAGAACTCAATTGTGGAAAAACCACTCAGAAAAAACAACTGGAGCAACAGTAAGAGAGAAGCCATATAACATCAGATAGACAGAAGGATGAGCTTTGGCACAACCTGTCTCATAAGGAGTACAGTGGAGACTTGAACGGGCACCCACAGGTGGCAGCACTGGAGGAATAACTGAGAGACCTACTGGATCCCCCTAAGAGGAATGGAGTTTGAACTCTAGGCTAGGATTCCCAGCCCAGAGCACCAGAGCCCCAAAAGCATACCAATAACAATCCACAGTGAAAAGCAGCAGGGTTGCTCTCTGTGAGAGACAGATGGCTGGAGATTCAAGAGTGATTTAAAGGGTCAATGCAAAATTTTATTTGCAGCCATTTCCCCTGGATTCTGGTAAAGGTTGGAGTGGAATGGACTGGTGATGCCTGAGGAAAAACTAAGGACTGAAGCTTTGGGGAGAGAACTGAAGAGTGTAGACGTCTGGCTCCCAATGCTGAGTCATCCCACAAACAAGGAGCCCTTGTACTTAGGCAGACAACTCCCCTCTGAGCAGCATAAGCTGAGGGGCAACAACAGACTGGACCTCAGGAGGGTCCAGTCTGGCCATGTGGTGCTTAAGCCTGACTGCTGAGTGCAGAGTGACTAGATTAACAACTGAAGGAGTCAGCCACAACATTAGATCCCTGGCAAAGGAGGGGCACATTGGACTAGAGAGACTTGAAGAGAGACTGTGGACAGTCTCTTGGGGACAGAACTGAGAGAGCAGCTGCTGGGTTCCTATTCCAGTGGTTCTAGCCACTGGGTCCCCATACAGTAACAACCATCCTACTCAGACAGACCACTCCCCTCCAAGCAGCAACAGCCTGAAGGGAAACAATGAATCCTTCCTCACCCCAGGAAGGATTCAGGCCCACCAAACAGTGCTTAAACCTGACTACGGAGGGCAGACTGACCAGATTAACAATTGAAGGAGACACACAGAGACA